ATGCTAGGTACTTGTACTGTACATACCGTACCCAGGAATATTCGCACGTACGGTACTACTGGACCGGCACCTCACGTTCCGCAGACCGGCAGATGATGCACTGAACGAGTCACGGCAGGGAGGACCAACGGCAGTCAAGTTAAAACTGCCGGTTCTACCGCTTCCGGTGGACGCATGAAATTAAATAGGTACACATGCGAACAAGGAAGGTTTCACTCGGGGCCGGCCTCAACTTGAACTCTGCAAGGGAAAGGAGGAGGCTACATTCAATTTCTGGCTACCTAGGTAGGTAGGTTTAGAGAGCTCTGCGCGCCGGAGGGACGCCCAAAAGCAGGGTGCAGCAAAGCAGCTACTAGCTAACTAGCATAGAACTGCACGGTTTACGAGCCCAGCAACCCTTTTGATTTGCCGAATCCTTAGGGCTTCTTATTCTCCGGGAGCGGGCCGCAAAATACCCTAACATCTGGCGGTGGTACAGTAGTAGCAAGCATGGCACACAGGTTGATTTGTACTCCTGACAATTCAAATGCTCTTTTGGATAAGAACGATGTTGAACAGAGGCAAGGCTTGCGGTGCCGCTTTGTGAGCCAGTCTGGAGCTGCTCATGACGTTGGGGCTACCTATGCTGATGATGGTTGCAGTGCGCAGTGCAATGTTCAGGAACCGGTGAGTCCTACAAAGGCGCTCCTCCATGTTATCATACAGCTATCATATGTAAAGAATCTTGTGACCTTCGCTTGGAAGGCGATTGGCTAAGGACTTCAACACAAAGGGAGGATTAGCTCAAAGAAAGCATACTGCTAGCACCTTCTTTGTCTCGCTGCTGAAAAGGGTGGTGTCTGATTTGCTGCTTACTCTCGTCTCCCACACAGCCACACGGAAAGCATACCGCTAGTCCCTTCTTTTTCTCTTGCTGCTGAAAGGTTGCTGTTTGATCAGCTTACTAACTTTGACCCGGACAGCCACATGGCAAAGGGCCACACATTATCAGGAAGTTTGCCTTCAGCAGCCTGCACTACTCCAGAACCTGATTCAGAATCCTCAGCCCGGGCAAAAGTGTAACAACTTTCTTCTGGGAAAGCACCAGAAGCTGCGTGAGCTTACAAGGTGTTCGTCTGTTTGCAGGAAGTTGAATCCAAAGCCTTTGTGCTTTTGGACAATGAAGATGAGCCTATACCATGCAAGGCCACACCTGTGCCGACTAAGGCGTTGGACATCGGCTCTGCCGAGATCCAGGCCGACTCTTCGACAAGCTTCAAAGGTCAGGCTTGACTCCGCTTGTGCGTTTGCAGACTCCGCTAGTGCTTTTGTCAGAGACTGAAAAGACGATCAGGGCGTTTGTCCAGAGCTAGAAGTGGTACCGTCCGCATCCTTGCAAGACGTTTTTGCAGGCGGAATGTGGATTGTCAGGGGGCTTATGTAGGCCGTTTGCCGTTTCACAAACCAAACTTGGTATGTTGAGAGAACAAAGTTGGGTTGTCTGTTTCAGTGTCGACCGGATTCAGAAGCATAAGGACTAATCCATAAGTCCAACTTGGCACTGTGTTTTGCCCGCTTCAAAGTCCAGTCTGCCGCGCTTGCTGTCACCGATCTCGGTGCACCAAAACAGACCGGCGACTCATGGGAAGACAGGACAAGCAGTAGCTCACCAGAAAGTGGAGGCCTCCAGCTGATGGCTGATTCTAACGTGATGGCTCGTTCGTTTTCAGAGTGCGCATGACCGTTGAATTCGATCGTTTGTTTTTGCAGCGGTGGTTGGGGCCCTCGGTTGGCTGGACCGGTACCTCTTTGTGTGGATCCTGCTCGTTATGATTCTCGGCGTGGTGGCCGGAAACTACATCCCGGGCATCGAGGAAGCCTTCAACGCGTCCAAGGTCGACTCCGTCTCCCTCCCGATCGCCATCGGCCTCTGGTGGATGATGTACCCCGTACTGTGCAAGGTCCGCTACGAGCTCCTCGGGTCACAGCTCTTGGAATCAGACCTGCGCAATCAGCTCCTCCTGTCCTTCATCGGCAACTGGCTCATCGGCCCTGCGCTGATGACCGGCCTCGCGTGGGCCACTCTCCCCGATCTCCCCGGGTACCGAACCGGCGTCATCCTAGTTGGCTGCGCCCGCTGCATCGCGATGGTCCTCATCTGGAACCAGCTCGCGCTCGGCGACACCGACTTCTGCGCCATCCTAGTTGCCTTCAACTCCGTCCTGCAAATTGTGCTGTACGCCCCGGTGGCCATCTTCTTCCTCAACGTGGTGTCGGGGCGCAGCGTCGACGTGAGCTTTAGCACTGTCGCCAAGAGCGTCGCGCTCTTCCTGGGTGTGCCTTTGGCGGCCGGTGTGGTTACTCGGCTGGTGCTCCGGAAGTGGCCGGGCGCAGAGTGGTACGAGAGGAAGTTCCTGCCCTGGTTTGGGCCCACCGCTCTCCTCGGGCTGCTGTTCACCATCTTCGTCATGTTCTCGCTGCAAGGCAAGCAAGTCGTGCACAACCTGGGGGACGTCGCGCGGGTCACCGTGCCCCTGCTGATCTACTTCGCCATCACCTTCTCCGGGACGCTCTTTGTCTGCAAAAAGCTCAAGATCTCGTACCCGAAGAGCGTCACTCAGGTCTTCACTTCCGCAAGCAACAACTTTGAGCTGGCAATTGCTGTAGCAGTGGCGAGTTTCGGGATCAACTCGCAGGAAGCATTGGCGGCTGTTGTGGGTCCTCTTATCGAGGTCCCTGTTCTTCTGGGGTTGGTCTACGTGGCTCTCTGGCTGAAGAAGAGGTGGTAGTCTGTTTTAGGCTTAGTTTATTGCTGGCGCGGCGGATAGGTTGATGGTTGCACAATCTGTTCAAAGGGATCAATCCAATTGCGTTGGCCGTCTTCCAGTGCACGCCACCTCAAACGAGTAGTTGCATAAGTGCGTATCTTCTAGAGAAAGTTTAGCACATTAGTCGCACAAAGGGAGTCATGGTTGAGACGAGCTTGCGTCATGTGTTGAAGTTGAAGAGATTATTGTGTTTTTGCAATCCACAAAATGGCAGATTGCTTTTTGATAATAGCGAGAGAGGTCCTACATCCGACTCATACGAGAAATTGCAGCATGCAGAAATTAGAGGCTACTAGTTCTGGGGTTTGAAGTTGATAGAATTACATTGCATGCACGGCAATCGATCGGAACGGTGCCTTTGATGATTGATTGTTATCCTTCGAGGCATGTTTCGCTTTATTGAGCTCCCCGCCCGTTCATGAAGTCCGTATGTGCATGGCATGTGCGCGGTCCCTCATGGCAGGACGTGTGATCTGCTTCGATTGTGCTCAAGCCGTGACACCAATTGTAGTTACAATCATGTTTCTGGTTTCAATCGAGCTACAGGATTTAAAGTTCCGACAAGCCATCAGACTCTTACTATAGTATATACTTGTCATAATTGCACGAGCATGACTCCCAAATTGCATGCAGGACATTTAATTTCATGTAGTATAACTTATGAGCTCTTGACCGAGTCCTGTACGTCTGGAGCATCGTAAAGCTAGCCTGCGCGCTCGCATCATTGGATATTCCAAGCTTGGGCGGGGGTGTTGGTGGTCATTGATTAAAGTACTGCCGCCAATATTGCGCTAGATCGTTCCGGCCTCCCGGCCGCTCAGTCTAGAGACCCGCATGAGCGTATCATGGTAACTACCGTACCGCCAATGTATACCATGAGGACCTGCATCAGTAATTGACCATGTGTGCCATGTGGACGCGCGGCAATGATATGATGCACCATGTGCGCATGTCTTCCTCACACGTGGAGTATGTTGTGACTCAAAATCTATTGGCTTGCAATGACCATGCTGCTTTCTAGCTGCGATTCAAACCCTGAACCGGCACACTACATTGATCAAGTGCAACAGTAAAATCGTTTATGACCTAGCCTGGCTTCGAACAGCTAGAATGTGCGTAACCAGCTATCTACATAAGCGATCCCACAAAGCACCGTCGTTATAGCACATCCCTCTTTCGAATCCGCTAAGGTGTACAACCTTGAATGGGGCACTTGCTTCTACTCCGCGACTTGCCTAAGATCGAAGGCTCTCATGGCGAACTCCAACGGGGCGATACGAACAGACTCTTCTTCCCGAAGCTTTCATTAAGCATCACGACAAACACAATCACTCTCACAATAGCACTTCGGGAAAGGACCCTCTAAACTCGACCGGACATGATGCTAATGTACACGTCAAGAACTACCTATCGTCGAACATCTGCTGACCCTGATGCGTCATGGCCCTATTTCATACACATGTCTTATCGTTCCTGCTGGTTCTTTTGCGCAATCTCTGCCGCAAACAAGGCGCTCTCGGGGTCCTGTACCAGATGTCGGAAGAGCTTTTGCAGCTCGGGGTGCAACCGGTCGATCGCCTGTGTGCACATTCTCAGGGTGCTCATGTGGGCGGAACGATCCCCCGGGCTCATGTACCGGCCCTCGAGCGTCACGCAGTGATGCCTGGTTGGATTGGGTGACGTCAAGGAAGCAAAGATTTCAAGTTGGCACGTGCGGCAATAAAGAGGAAGGAAGGCAGCCTACATTGGGAAGAGCAGCACTAAGTAGAACCAGATTGCACAGAAGGATTACTTTACAGGCGAAGTCTAAGCGGAAATTCTCGAAGGACATCAGGAAGAACCGAGTAAACGAATCGGAAACAGTTGAAGTCGCAAAAGACCACTGAACGAGGCTCTGGAAGCCCGCTGTAGCCGAAGCGAGCGGAAAAGAGGAGTCCAGAAAAGAGAAGCAGGAGCAGATTGCGGTGGATACAGGAAATCAACCAGGTCGGACATCTCCGCAGCGTCCGCGGCAGTGGTCGTGCTCGAGCGTCCGAACACGTCCGCAAGGATGGTGAACAGCAGGGCCAGCGTCTGCGGACAACGGCGGCAAAGGTTAATCGTTACTGCTGAGAGTAGCGATACCGGTAGAAGAGAAAGGGCTTAAAACTCTTAGAAAGTCGGACGTTTTGAGCGATCAGCTATCGCTTCGGGCGAAGGTAGCATTCGATCCGCAGTCGAAGGACTGTACAAGCCAAAAGCAACTCCTATTCGAACATCTGTCTTCGGAAAGCCCCCAACAAGTCGTGTCATCTGATTGCAAAAGCGCCATTTCAATGTCAAAATCTGATCAAAGCTCAGAAGCTTCCGTCGTCTCGATTGATTCTCGCAGAAGCCGCCAAAGCCTAAGATAAACCCAGGGAATTGCAAGGTCTAGAAATGTCCCTAACCTTCAGAGAGAATGGCCGCGAGCCAGATAAACAGCTCAGAAGGTTTCAGAGGTTTAGGCTCCCCGCTCACGTTTGCGAAGAGCGGCCGCGAGCAGAATCACGAGCTCAGAAAGTTTTAGCGTTTTGAAATTTCCCCCACCTTCCCGCAGAGCGGCCGCGAGCTAAATTGCTAGCCCGGAAAGTTTTGAGAGGCTTAGGAATTCCGCTCACCTTCGCGAAGAGCGGCCGCGAGGGCGCCATTGCCGGCACCATGGGCCCCACCATTTTGAAGCAGAGGCGCAGGTGCGCGCCGCTGCGTATCGGCCGCTGTCGAATCACTAGGCTGCTCAGACTGCCCAGCCACTCGAACGGAACGGCTGCAAGACACCGGAACCGGAGTGAGCGGAAGCGAGCGTGTGCCGCTGATCCATGCGAAGTGTGCAGAGCGTTGCGAGCCTTGACAAGTTCCCTTTGCCTTGTCGAGAGATTGAAGCTTCTAGAAGAGCTCTTCTCGTCAGGACGGACTTCCAAAGAATGAAACGAAACGAAGAAGTTCTAAGCAATTGTTGTTGGATGTTCGGAAAGGTTTCAGGCGGTAAACTAAGACGAAGCTATGCATTTGAAAAAACTCACCACAAGTAAAGCACTGAGCAGATTCAGACATCGAATCTTACCATAACCAAACGCATGCGCCATCCCGAGCACTTGCGTCGTCCCCGTGACCGTCCCCTCCTCCGCCGCGTTGTTCGCCTCCGCCGCAAACGGCCACCCCTGCAACCGGTGCCTCACCCCGGGCTCCTCCAACCGGCCCAGCGTTCCGCCCCCCCCAGGTTCCGCTAAGCTGCTCAGGGTTCCGTTGAACCAGGGCGCGGCGGAGATCACGCTCTGGACCTCCTCAAAGAACGCCACGTGGAAGCGCACCGGCAGCTGCGCGAGTACGATGCCCGTGGTCTCGGCGAACTGGGCGGCGCTCGGGGTGATCCCCGGACGGTATAACGGGGACTGCGACGAGCCGCCCGGCGCGTTACGGGGCCTGCAATTCGAAAAGAATCCAAAATAAGCAAGAAACAGGTTAGAGTCGGCAACCCAGAGTTAAATTCTTTTCAGTGGTTACTCAGGCGGTATAAGGGAGGACTGCGAAGAGCCCCCTGTTACCGGGCCTGCAATCAAGACAACGCACTCCTTACAAGAAGTAAATTAAGGTCGAAAACGCGGTCACAAAGCCCTGAAAAGAGGAAAACGGGGCGGTAGGGCGGGACTGCAAAGAGCCGCCCGGCGTGTTACGGGGCCTGCAACAAGAGGAATGGTATGTTATGACACAAGACAAATCAGACCCGTAATTCCAAATTAATCAAGGTCTGTCGGGTGACCCCAGGAAGGTTCTGCAGGGCAGACTGTGACGAGCCTTCCGGCGTGTGACGGGGCCTGCATATATGTAACTAGAAGAATTCTTCACCTCGATAACCAGGGCTTCAAGGTCTCTAGAATTGATCCCCATGTGGTATAGGGTAAGTTGCGAAGAGCCGTACGGCGATTTATGGGGCCTGCGTGAAGGTGGGCGTCGGGCTGTCAAAACTCGTGAAGTGAGTACGGGTCTTTTCTGGACGGCCAAAGTCCACTACTAGCACCGTAGGCTGCCCGGACGGGACGTGCTTATGCCACGCTTACAAGAGCAAAGTCCACTACCACGCCCAGGAACTCAAGATTACTAAGAAAAAAATGCCGGGTGATGGAGGGGAGTTTGCAAAGAGCCGCCCGGCACGTGACGGGGCGTGCATTAAGAAGAGAGAGACGTCACACGATAAGCAGGAACTGTAGGTCTAAGTTTCAAAAGTCTAGGGTTTTCAGGTCTCTCGGGAAGACTTCCAGTCGCTACAAGGGGAAGTGCCCGGGCCCCGGACTGGGGACGGGGCCTGCGTGTACTGGAGAAAAGGTTTTCCGAAGGTCGAAGCATAAAAGGAATGAGCATTTCTTGCGGAGCGCCGTTTGAACCCGTCGACAGGGGTTCAAGAATGAGCCTTGTCAACAAACAAGCGTGGAGCAATCAAAGGACAGCTTTCGCCGAAGAACAAGCAAAGGACGCACACAAAGCCTAAACGGAAAGGATCCGTCCAAGCAGACCAAGTAGAGGTGAAATGAGTTCCGCTTACGCCATGGCCGTCCGGTTGTTCCGCTCCATACGCCCCACGTTTTCCGGCCACAGCGCCGCCCCCACGAGCGCCCTCGCCGTCCGTTCCGCCGGAAAGGGAATCGCAAGCAACTCCACCTCAACCGTCGCCATCAATACCTGCGCCTGCGTGGCGCAATCCTGGTGCTTCGCAAACACGCTCGTCAGGCGCCAGGGGGTCGAACTGCCGCCGGTACTGCCCCCCCGCCGCATGTGGGGCCCGCTTTTCGCGGGGTTGAGGCTCTGGCGGCTGTAGAGGGTTTCGCCCATGGAGGGTAACACGTGGGCGACTTTGGTGAGGAGGTTAAGGAAGTAGTTTGGGGCCAAAAGGGGTTCCGCGTTTTCTGGGTGCTTGAGGTAGTTGGAGAAGGGCTCGCTGAAGCCGTACTTTTGGACGTCGAGCAGGGTTACCAGCGTGTTGACCTGCATAACCGAGGGTTAGGACGCCGGTTCAGAAGGGGAGCTTCACGCAAGGAGAAGAAGTCGTATGGAAGTCGTATGAAAGTCTTCTCCACCGATGTGCACACGCAGTCTTGGAGACAAAGGTGCTTGCACTCTTGAAAACAAACGTCGTGCTAAATCACAACATCGTTCCGATGGAGAAAGCAAAATTGCATTTTCCCGCCTTCCCACCCCCCCCCCCGCCCCCCCCCCAACGCGGGCAAAAGGACCCCCCCTCACCAGCTTGGGCGGCATGATTCCATGGTAATACGCCAGCAGGTCCCGCACGACCATCAGTTTGCTGGGGTGGTACGTCAGCAGGGGCCCGTATGACGTCAGCAGCTTGGTTGCAGCATCGAACCGGTCGTGCTCCACGAGGCGGCCAACTAGGACGGGGAGGACCGGGAGGGCGCGCAGGCACAGATCGTCGAACAGGGGGGGGTGCCTGTAAGTGTTGAGTCGGTCTGTTCATGAAGCCCGCCCGTTTCAAACGTTTGAATCTTCCTCCCGTCACGGCAGCGATGAGTGACTCTCTGGACAAGCAACGGACCAGGATAAACAAAACCTGAGCCTTGGAAAGGCCTCTGAATAGAGAACGATCCAAAGTGGGAGGGCGAAACATCATCCAACAGTCCCATGTCAGGAGTGCGGTGCTGCTATGTTGCCGAGGTTTATGAAACGAGGCCAGCTCTTTCCGTAGAAATCAGCATGTAGAAGAGACAAGAAGAAGGAAGAAATGACGGACAACATCCACCAGCCAATTTCACCTCATGTCTACAGTGCACGGCAAATTCCAAAGGTTAGTTCTATTCATACATGTTCAGGTACAGTGAATGATACAATGGTGAGTGATCCCCCCCCCCTTTCCGGCGTCGTTACCCCCAGCACAGATTCCACCCAAGCGTTACCCACCTGTCACTCCCTGCATAATGCGCCCCGAGCGCCGCGCGCAGGTCCGCCCTCACGGGCACCTCTTCGCGCGTCCAGTGTTCCGCGGGGCCCCGTTGGGCGCAGTACCGCTGCACGCGCTGACTGATTTCAGGCCGCTCCAGGAGCAGGGTCAAAAGCGACAGGGCCTGCGGGTGGTCGTCGCGGTCCGCCAGCGCGAGCAGGGTGACGTCATAAGGGAGGAGCTCCTCGACCCAGAGAATGTGCGCCAGGTTGGCGGCAGTCTGCGGGTTAAGGAACGGTTTTGAGGTTGAAGTTTTAGGATAACCATCCAAATGAATCTGGTACCAGTCCACACGGACGGAAGCGTTGGAGTCGAAGATGAACCTGGTTGACGTCATACGAGAGGAGTTGTTCGAGCCAAAGCTAGAAAACCCATGTTGGCGGCGCCCCTACTGACCAGAGGTGAAACAATAAAATGTGCGCCTTGAGCCCACTTGAAGGTCTCGCTTTCTTTCACGAACCGGGCAACAGTGGTGGCAAGATGGTGTGAAACGCTCCCCCACACAGAAGGCAGATGGGGGACTGAGAGCAGGAGTGCTCGGTTCACGACTCGGGCTTGCTTGGACTATTGAAGGGGTTTGCTGGTTGGAAAGGGTAATGTCCGAAAAGAAAAGCTCCTTAGCACGCGATGGCCTATTGAGGAATATTGCAAAGCCCAAATTGGATGCCGTTAGTGGCAAACCGCGTGATCGTAAGGTCGTCAGGTTGCAAGGTCGCAATGAAAGTAATATGTGTGAAGTATATTGAAATGGAATCTGAGCCCAACTGCACATATGGGTCGCCTAAAATGCGGGCCCTGTAACGTCCGGATTCAGAATTGCACTCAGCAGGTTGGTTAACTTTGTAGTGACCTAAGAACCGGAATACATACAGCGAAACTCTATGAAGAACATAAAAATCATTCGATCTTCGCAAGCCAAGTCGTTTTTACCGTATTCTTCACCCCCAGAATATGTCTACCGAAGGCATTAGAAAGATCGGAAGTGCTGACAAATGAGAAATCGAAGCTCACCCTCGCTAGGACCGTTGCCTCTGGCTCTCCCTTGGTGACGCCTTTCGTGCAGCTGTGCAGAATGAAGTCGACGAGGACGTATACATTGCCCGTGATCTCCTGCAGGATAGCGTATGGGATATCACGTCTTCTGACTTCTCGCACATATCTGTAAGCTACACAAACTTCTTTCTACTATCTCTTTCTCTTGGTAAGCTATACAAAGCTCTTTCTACTATCTCTCTTGAAAGCCATCACGAAAAGAAAGAGGGCTTTGTTTGGAAGACAAACAGCATCCTTGGGAAGAAGCAAAATCGGACCGAAGAAGATAAACATTGAAACACGAGTAAGATCTTACGAGAGCGTTCTTACCTCAGGTGTAAAGTCCCTGAGGGCGCGGGCGAAGTTGGTCAGGTTGGGCTTGTCGTGGCGGCCTGCAAAAATTCCGGCAGCAAAAACTGAGTAGATGACGCCTACTGAAAGCAAAGCCTTGTCAGAATGTTATTTCATTAGCAAGCATACCAAGGTCTGGCGGTAAGAAACTAAAGAACCCTCTTTCGGAATCTAGCAAGCGGGTCTTCGCCAACTCGTCTGCTTCAAAGTAATTAACAAGGGAACGCCGTTGTAGTTTCAGGTTGACCTCAGCACTTCGCTTGTGCACCTTGCTCTAGATTGTAAAACAAGGCCGCTCTTTCTCTCGAAATCTGAGATGGCCCACAAGCGTCACACAAACTCTCAAAATCCCTTCCCCGAAACTGCCTGAACACATTCCCAGACTCCTGGAGATTGGCGTCAACGAACAAAATTAGCGCTCAGCGGCGATCTTCTGAAGCAATGGGAAAGCCTCGACCGCACACGTGGGTCAGAAAGTACCAAACATGTACGAGTCTTGGCCAAAGAAGGGTGCTTCAGTAGTTTGGACATTCTCGTGGGACGCTTTACCTTCCATATTGGTCCACAGCGCCGTGGCCGCCCATCGCCGGAATTCGCGGGGGGCGTTCTTCAGATATGCAGAGACGGCGGCGGGGTCGGCGGCAGGCTTTGCCAGCTGGCTGTGTGTTGTGATGATTGCCTTGCCGTGCTGTGAACAGACGACGAGGTTTTAGATGTCTCTTCAATTGAGGTAAAGTAAGCTCCACGTAAAGTAAGCTCCCAGCCTAACACTAAAAACCTAACCCTCAAAATGACCCGCTCCGCGCCCGAACCCACCCTCACCCCCAAATTAACCCCACCCGTCCCAGGCTGCTTGGCTTACTTTACCTGAAGCTTACTTGAAGTCTTATAGGTTTAAGAAGCTGATCAACAAGTGTCATCTGACGATAGACGAGGCACTGAGTAAGGAGGCAAAGAGGTGGAATCGACTTGGCCGAGGATGAATGGGGTTCAAAAGCACGTAAGCACCTCCACTCCCAGCCGATGCTCGGACCACAGCGGGTGTTTACGTCTATGGCTGCGAGACATCTCGTCCTAAATCCCTCACTTGAGAACTCTGTTCCTTCCCAATGATGACGTTCTAAGAAGGATGTCATCGGACATATGCGCTCGCACAATGTACGCCAAACAAGTCCAGGGTCAAAGCGGGTCAATCAAAAGAAAAGCACTTGGTAAAGAGGTCCCAGAGTCGAACAAGCCTTTCAAAAGATCTTATGTTGTCTTATGTTGCGCTAAAGACTAATCGCCTGGTTTTCCTAACGGCGTCTCAACCCAAAGTTAAGCGCTCACCTTTTGCCACTCGGCCAGCACGGCCCGCCCTCTAACGTCCTCCCTGGTTTTGAGCATCTCCCGCAGCGACGCCGGGAAGTGGCGGAGCGTCTTTTCACTCCAAGCATGCGTAGAGTGCGCCAGCAGGTGCTTTACCGCGGTGTGAATGTGCTCCACGTCGGGCGGGCTCGCCAGGCCCCTGGACAAGCGCAACTCCAGTTAGATGGGGAGCTTCGGCTTTTGAACTTACAATCGATCCGATATCCTGGGGCTTCCCAGGCTTTCAAAGGTAAAATTTAGCGCGTGGTTGTATAAAACTTTTGAGCGCTCGGTTCGGCACATAGGATGTGGTCTCAAAGGAGCCACCGAAGTGCAGTCTCTGTACGGAAACACGACGTCGACGGCTTTCTTTGCGCTTCAGCTTTGAATTCGCTCAAACCACGCAACCCCAGGCGCCAACCCGTTTCCAAGGAGCCAGTTGCCGTCAGCATTTCGCACGGTCAAACAGTAATCAGCTACCCCAAGAAAGTAAGCAAAATCAATCGCTGGCTAAAGGAGGAAGTGCGTTTCTGCAAGCCGCATGCTTCGTACAGCGGCAACCGTGGCCACTTCGAGCACACACGTTCCCTTGTGGACTCAAGCGAAAACAGCGTCAAGAACGCGCAACTGGCACCATCCACCTCGTCTTTGACACCACCGCAATATTCAGCACCATCAACGACGTGGGCGCGCTCTCTGGACTCAAAAGAAGCAGTGTCAAGCGTGCGCTAGCGCCGCCACCCACCTCGTTTTTGACACCACGGCAATGTTGAGCACCATCAACCGGTTGACCGTTTCTGACGTTGGCAAGCCCTTGGTCGCGCGCTTGATGTCCGTGAAGTCCCGGTGGATGTTACCGATGACGCTCATGCTGACGTTCTCCGTGAGGCGGTACAGCCGGTGCTGACCTGGCAGCGTCAGCAGGGCCGCCAGGATGCGCTCCAGGTCGCCCCACAAGGCGCGCAGCTTGTTGTGGTACCTGCGCAGTACGCTTGTTAGAATCTCCGGCTCTCAAGGGGTCTTGGTTATGTAGTATCCAGAACCAAACTGGCGCTTCTGATCGGGAAATAGGTTTCAACGGTCATTGGAGTATCTGCTGGCCAAAGAATTTGTACCGTATGATCGCGCAACCAGGGCTCTTGTGAGAAGGCCTTTAGCTGAAAGACACTGCAGACGTATCGCAAATCGTCCTCTAGATTCACACTGCAAACGATTGGCCGCTCCAATTTTATGCTTCTAGTCTCCTGAGCTTTCGACAACCCTTGCAGCCCACTGAATTTCCAGCACTTCCCCACCCAGACACGGAGACCCTCAGATTCAACCGATGACCAAGGCAGCCATCCTGACGCCCTCATTAACCGGGTGAAATTCTGGCCTCCCGACTTAAATCGAACCCCCAGCACATTCCTGAACACCGCCCATGAAGGGGATAACAACGCGAAGCACTTTGCAAGAGGCGGGGGCACCGACCGGTAGAAGGGCAGGAGGCGGTAATTGAGGAGCTCCAGGAGCGTGAGCATGGTCCCGGTCATTCGGGGATCCCCCGGCTTGTACTTGTTCAACAGGCTCTGCAGGAAAAGCGAAAGCTTGGTAAAAGATGTCGAAGCTGCGAGATGAAACAACTCGCAGAAATTTCTCTACGCATTCGAAGGACACGACTCGTCAAAGGTCCAGCGATTCCAAGAGGTAAATTTTCCCATAAGAAGATATGGAGACCCGGAGTCCAAACAGTGGAGGATCTGACCACGAACAATGAGCAAGCAGCAAATGCGAGGCGACCAGACTTAACCTGAGCTTGAGTTGCTGACGTCAGAACAATCCCTGGTGAAGCGACTGGGAAGAAAAAAAATCTATGAAATAATTGATAACAATTTCAGCGGCCGACCCCGAGCATATCTGCGCAGTTGCAGGCTTTACGGTTCGGCATGTGACCTCGAAAAGTTTTCACTACAGATGCAGACCTTAGGTGTCGGAGAAGAGCATGTCACATTCGAGAAGCTTCCAAAACAGATTCAGGCTTTGAGATCTCGGAAAAGAGCGTCTGACCTCAAAAAGCTTTCGGTAGAGCGATTGCGGGGAGACGAGCAGCACCCGGACGTATGTTTCCAGCATGGAGACGGAGACTGCGGGCTGGCCCATCGCGACAAGCTCCTCAATCATGTTGGTTAGCCTACGGTCAGCAGAGGGTCAGCAGATGGTTAGGCAAAACAGAGACTGCAGGCTGGCCCAATGCGACGAGCTCCTCAACCATGTTGGTCAGCCTGCGTCAGCAGAGGGGTAGGAGGGATAGCCCATTGGCGAATGTTGCGAGACCTTGGGAAAACGCCGAGTGAGGAGATTGATTAGCAATGGGTGCAAGAAACGACTTGGCAGATGGTATAACTCTCTGAAACCAAGCCGACCAAAGAATGATAGCCCTGACAGAACAGCAAGGGCGAGATGCACTTGTATCCAATTGGCAGGCCCGGAAAGCAAGTATTATGACCCGGCGAAGGACGCAACTTCAAGAGTGTTCTGTACTTTCAGCAGGGGTAGACGAGCTACATGAATGCGGAAGAAGACCGTTGAACCGATGATACCCTTGTGGTCGATTGAGTAAAAAAGGTGCGTCTTGAAGAATGCTATTGCTTTTTCTAGAGAGTTTGGCTGCTGACCCACTCAGTGCTGCTTCAAGCCTCTTTTGTCACCAACAGTTACTGATTAGATCGCAATTGGCGAGCTGATCAATCAGAGACTCACAAGAATCAGGTCGAAACACGGGTTCCCGTCTCCGTCAAAAACGTGTGAGCGAAGACTGTTTAGCTCAAATGCGAAACAGCCACAGGAAGTGGCTTGTTCACCTGCTTAGCGACTGGATCGCAATCCCCGTGAGAAAGCCCACGGGCATTGGCTTGACCTCCCGGATGACCGGCAGGGGGGCCTCCCCAGGCGCGGTCCCCGGTAACTCAAATGTGCCCTGCACCGGGATCACAAAAGCGGTTGAATAAAAAGATACGGAACAAAACTTGGTTGTTCAAGCCGGGAAAGCGGCTCAAAAAGAAGTTAACGAGCAGATGACTAGCGCAACTTTTATGTAGGAGGAGGAACGATTCAAGGGAGTGAAGTTGAGGTACAGTTCGAAAGAAAGCCCGCATAAACAGACTCAGAGCGTGACAACGAAGTAATGAGACAGTGAGTGCTTGGTTGAGCTTCCATCTCTCGGATCGGATTCTCTGCTGCTAACGGCAGCCGACTCCCCTTCACTGTCTGCAACCCCCTCAAAACCTCCTTCCGTCAGCCAGTGACGTCAGCAAGGAACCGATGCGACTTGCCTGTGACCTCAGCATCCCGAACCAGACCTTGGTGAACTCCTGGCTCCTTGAGTGGCTCAGGAACCACAGCCGCCCCGTGGTGACGTCATCCAGCGCGCCAGAGTCCTGCGGCACTTTGCCGGCCTCGAATGCCTGCCACCAGCTCTCCCCTTCCTTGATCCGCTTGGTCAGGTCCGCTTGCCAAGCGGGGGCCAGGGCCGGAAACGGAACGTCGATGTTCATGTGCTAAAGGAAAAGCAAAAGGTTAGTGTCCAAAGCTGATACACACCAATGGATCTGCTTCTGTGTGACATGTCGAGGCGAGACGAGGAAGCAGAAGCACTCCGTACAAGGGAGAGGAGTTCCTCGTCTGTGAACACTTTACCTCTGGAAAAAGGTCGGTCTCCTTAAGCTTATATATTCCGAGACTCCAATCATGTACAACATGTTGAAGCGCAAGGCAAGGATCAAAGGGAACACTCGACTTCTGGAAAGAGGTCAATCTCCAAACCGGATACAAACGCAAAGCCTAGCCTTAACGACCTGCTGAGGCGCAAGGCAAGGAATACAAGGGAACACTCAACCACTGGAAAGAGTGAGTTCAAACCCTAGATACACACAATTCCTAACCGTGTGCGACATGCTGAGGCGCAATACAAGGAAGCAGAAGACCTCGCTACAGAGGATGGGGGCATACCACTCAATGATGCACAACTCTGTCAAGAGGTTATTCAACCCACACGCGAACCCTAACCTTGTGGGACATGCTGAGGCGCGAGACGAGGAAGCTAGGCGCCCAGTCGAGGAGCACTGCCACGTGGGGCGCCTGCGACAGTTCGGACGGGGGTGTTTCCGCAAAGTGGACCAGCAATTCGAACGTCCGCTGCTTTTCCGCCTGAGTCCCGCGCTTGAAGATGTCGATGATCGCCTCCAAGCGGACGAGCTGTGAGAAGAGCCACGCCAGCAGGGGGCTCCGCGGCGGGCCTTTGGGACCCCCCTGCTGCGAGAGTTGCTCGAGGTACGAGAGGAAGTCGACGTGGCTGCGAAGAGGAAGGGCAGATGTGATGACGGAGTGTCGCTCAAAGTCTGATAGTTTGCAGCAAGTTCGCAGAAATGTTCGGGATAGGAAAGCGGGCACATCAGGTAAATTTAGATTCGGAGGGCGCATTGGGACTCCTCAATAGTTTTTGGGGCTCCACGCATGTAACGACCTCCGCGAATAAGCAACGGGGATGGGCTTCAATAGGAAGATCCATGCTTTGAAAAGCATTTCAAACTTTCGCAAAGCGCTGTGCGAATGCAGAGACGTAGCGATGTCAACCCTCCGGGACGATGACTTGTGTTCGATACCAGGGCAGAGACGGTGACGCAAAGAAACACGTGGCAACTCAAAGGTCAGCAGAGAGATGATGGCTCACCCTGAGCGTACGATCTGGAACAATAGGTCTGCGAAGAGGCACCACTCCTGCCAGCTGGCACAGTCCGCAATCTCGCCGGGCGAATCGGGGTCTGCGATGAGCGTGACAAATGAGTAACCACAAACAGGGTTCCAGGATTTCAATCTACTCCTCGTGGGCCGACGCCAGAAGAAGGCCTCAGATTTCTTGCCCGTCGCCCGGTATGAGGGTGTAAGTAAGCACGAGGAGTTTTACTAAAGGAGCGAAGAGAGCTGGGAAGCGGGGCGGTATGAAAATTTTGGGCGGCAATCAAAGCGCGGTCCTGACTGGGTTGTGATGCAAAGGTCGACACTAGAAGTTGCAAAATTTTAGAAGCATACGTTGTCGAATGAGGGTTTCTTAATTTATGCTGACACTCACAAGGGCGGAGTAGTTCCAAGGTACGCAGAACCAGGGCCTCCGTCAGCATTGGCGCTGAGAACTCGGCGGAGGGATTCACTTGGCCCTGCTGGAACCTGGGAGGAAACCAAACCGGATACAGGCTGAGTCTCTGAAGCAAACAGTGCTTTCAAATGAATTCGGCAGCCTGAACCGTGTCTGGTCTGCAAAACTTGGGCCGTCCGATGGCAACGCTTTTGAGTTATCGGACGGTCCACTTGGGCAAACCGGTCACAACTCCGGTCAGATGGTCAGGGTCACAAGTGGAGGGACATGCCAAAGGAACAAGACTCCGTGAAGATCCCTGTTGTAAGACGATACTTGAAAAAGTGAATGAAGACTTCGTATCATAAAAGCTTCGTTGACATAATAGACGAAATAGCGCCGTTGCCAGTGACTTCCGGCTGTGGATGTGGATGGAAGAGTTCTGAAACCCCTCTATTATTGGGAACAACTTGCGCTAGCAGCTTCGCGGGCGACCTCGCGCCCGGAAACCCCTTCGTGATTCTCCGTGTGATTTCGATGCACTCATAATCACTGAAGTCACGCATTCCGTCATCAGATGAAACTTCAAGAAAAATCTGCTTTTTCAGAAAAGCGTCAAAACACATATTACACCATGAGAAACAACTGCGGAAGCGAGCGTCTCACTGTGGAGAAAGGACGAGCACACGGCGCCACCAGTCGGCGGACACGCTGTTTCGGAGGCCCTGTTTCAGGCAGGCCATGGCGCGCTCCCACTCCCGGCTGTGCGGCGGGACCGCGGCCGCCAGCTGCACAAGGCCCCACGGAAAAAGGTCAGCATTGACAGTGCGACTTTGCTTCTTAAAACCGACGATTGCGCATATGCCGTTTCTACAATCTTCTTCGGGACTCCTTCTGAAGCTCGGGACTCTCCTTATCCAGACCTTAGCTGGTTCACTCAGATTCATATTCACATGGTAATTTTGACTCCTTTTCTCTCACCATCCGTGTACCAAAGAAGTGTCTGAGCTGAGAAGGTTAGTTGAAAACGCCTAGAATCTTCCTGTTGACCGAACAACCCCTCTTATCATTATAGCGAAGTCGCAGTCACGCTCACCTCACACGCAGCCTTGAATACGCCCAATAGATGCAAAAACGGTACCACCAAGAGCACACAATGTCGTTCCAATCAATGAAACCCGTTCATCTCCAACCTCAGCACCAGATCAATCGTACTCAACCCCACGCAGTCGTCGTTCTAGAATTCGGAACCACCCACTCCGGGTCAAAGCTACCAACGAGTCTTCGCCTCTTCTCAACCACTGACACCTTGTGTTTGTCTCGCAACTCAAGGCCCTAACCATGACCGTAACCATTCGCTAGCCCACCTCGGCGCCCTTGATCGGCTCCCCCAAGATCCCCTGCAGTGTGAAGGGGGGCGCCCGCAGTGTGGCAAACGTGGGGCTCCTGATCTGGCAATCGGTTCGCGTGAAGTAGTATACGACCTTATCGCGCCGCTTGTGGATATCGTATAGGAACGACAGCAGCGGCTCGTCGGAGGGAATGGAGTCGCCCAGGATCAGTGTCTGCTCAAATATAGGAGGCGGATGTCATGAAACTAGCGTCGGACATGGGTGTCAACTCCAGGCAATCCCACATTGCGGGGAGCCCAAATCATCCGTATTTCGACCCAATCTCTCCGGAGTTGATGGTAACTCATTGGAGTGTGCCGTTTCCGAGCTTTGGTAACCGCAGCCCACTTCGAGGATTTTGAGGTATTTGAGATGTGATGCTTTATGAAGATTGAAAACTTCCCAAAAGGCGGCGCGAGCTGGTGAGACTTGCTATAAATACACTAAGTCCAGGTTCTGTAGTTGAGATGACTTAAGTAGTCAAACTGCGCGAGCTCAAACGCTTCCACCATAAGGTCTCTACGCCCCACTTGTATAGCAGCGAATCTAGTTTCAAGCTGGCTTTCGTAGTGACCCATAAGCAAGTGAGTTAATCGCTAAGCGAACCCACCTCGTCAAGAAGGACATAAGTCGGCAGCAGGTGGGTGTCGTCCAGCGTCAACCTCCGCACGAGCCGCATGCTTTCCGCCACCACTTCATCCACTCCCCCCTCGTTCCGTTCCCGCTCCACGGGTTCCTTTTCCGCCTCCAACCCCTTTCCTTCGCCCGGAAACTCGGTCGCCGAATTGATCCACGTCAGGGCGAGCCTCAGCAGCGCGAGACAGGTTAGGGGTTTGACGGGAGCGGCGGAGTCGAGCGCGGCGTGCGCGGCCCGGCAGAGAACGGGCCGAAACGCAGGGAGGGCGGGCGCGGAGAGCTCGGGCATCTCCTTGGGCGACGCGGCCTCCTTCGGCGATCCGGCCTGCAACCGTTCTCGAAGTTCGTTAATCACCGATTGAAGATCCGAGTAGCAATTGACGGAAACAGTCTGAGAGGCCAGAAAACACTGGAAAGTACAAAAACGTTGACAAATTTAGATGGTACATGAACGTTCTGAAATGTGGAGTGACCCCCTCACAACGGATACGGTAGGTTGTTCTCAAGAGCGACTAAGAAGGCTCCAGCCGACCTCCGTTTCTGTGAAGAGCAGGCACTATGCAGAACTACTCGATGCAGCCAGTGTTTTACTTGGAATCTAGTTGGAAGCGGGTTGCATGGCAACAGTCTCGATACCCTGAAAGTAAAAACAAAGTCCAAAGCGAGTATATTTGCAAGAACAGACTGAAGATGACGTCAAACAATCTGCAACCGACGAGATGGCGTGGACAATTGCAGTCCAAACGGGAGGTAAATTTCTGTAAGGCTTGGTACGTGGAGGCTGGACGCTGTAACGGCCATTCAACGCATGTGAGAACGGCCCCTCCGCCACGACACCATGACGAGAGCATCCAGAACTCTAACAAAACCCTTCTCTGACCTATCACCCGGGCGGTGGCAAACCTTTCTGCCACCAATCACCCGACTATGGGCAAAGCTTCCTACACTTGACGCTTGACACTTGAGCTTTCCGAGAGCCCTCACCCGCATCTGCGCCATGAACCCCCCCGTCAGCCGCTCCGGGGGGCCCCTTTCGAGCGACTCTTCTGACCCCTTCGGCGACTTTGGTGACGCCGCCGGCGTCCCCGGCTTTGACGCTGCCCCCGCTGGTTTGCTGTCGTCCTGAGCTTTGCCATTTTTTGGTGTTGTCGAGGGATATGCCGCGAGCAGGTACTCCAGGAGGGGGGTCCAGTCCAACAGCGCAGATTTGTGGAGGGGGGGTAGGAGCGTGTAGAGGAAGTCCGTCTGGGGGCCGTGGCCACACCCCCGGATGAGGAGAGAAGCGAAGGCGGCCTCTGTCTCGCTGCATTTCTCGGCGACCGGCTGCAGAAGAAAAGGGTGGCAAGAACAGGTCTTGCTTTTACGTTGAAGTCAGCGTTAAAAGTCAGTGAGATGTTGCAAAGAGGACGAGGGCATAAACTAGCAAGCGACTGGAAACTCTAGTCGACAACATACGCGCTCATGGTTGTAGTATCATGCATCACAGGAGGCGAGGCTCCATCGTTGCGAATCTCCTTGATCGTTCCTCTTTCCTCTTTGATGGTTGCGGATTGAATACTTCAATCAGTAAGGATCGAATCGGCGAATCTCGCACGATCAATCAACTGCAGTATTCCCGCAAAATCCATGGAGCCCTAGTCGAGGCTTAGTAGAGCGCCCAATCTCATCCAACAAGCTTCAACTGCTTTCCAGCCCTTTCACGTCCTTGGCTTCAAGCCAGTGGGAGTCCCGCTTTGTGACCAGATTAGAGTCAAGGCCAGCTTTGATAACCCTACATCTTCCTTAACGACGTTCCGCTTTACTTGTCAATCCCACGACTTTCCTAGACACGTTGTGCCCTCTTCGGCAGCTTTAACCGGGGGAAAACCCCGGTCATAAAAGTGACGTTTTCAGATCTCGTCGAACTTACATCTGGATTGTCTTGCAGAGCCTTCGAGGCGTTCTGCAGTTTCGGATCGGCCACCATCGGCTGCGGCCGGGGGCCGGCAGAAATCCGCCTCTTCTTTCCACTGCAAGAGCTCAGAAAATTCCTAAGATGTTGAGAATCAAACTGATTCTTAGACCCTCAACAGATGACCACTTGATGTCGGAACAGTCGGAACACAGGTTCTCGCATGTGGGAGCAAAAAGGTGGTGGTATGCATTGTACTAAACAAGAGCAATTCTGAGCTCTTTCGACTCATAGGCCCCAAATGTAAGGCAATTGGGCATGAGGCGTTTACTCCCGTCCTCCAATCTTGACCCCTTCAGGAAGAACTGATGGCATCCTAAAAGCATGTGATAGCTTCCTGTTACAAGCTTCAAGTTAACAACTCCTGAACCTCTAAGCCTCGCGGCGCCATCGAAAAATCTCACATCAACTCCTAACTTTTCCGTGAAACTTTCTCCAATATTATTCTTGACTCTACAAAAGTGAATGGGTTATCCATAACACTTGAGTTTGTTGATAGAGTCGGTGCAAAGCAGAAAGCCTCAATTCAATTTCAGCATGGAATTGTCTGCCCATATCATCAAGGCCCTTGCGGTCTTCTTAAAGTAAGTTTTTCAAAGGAGCCAAAAGCCATGGGAGTCCAGCACTTACTTTCGAATACTTGTATCCCCTCGTATGGGTTCCACTGCTTCAGCCTGCACACAGGAAAGAAGCTTCATGAGAAAGGTCAATTCATGAAGTCGACGCCCTTTCTTTTGAAGAGGGGGTTGAAGACATACTCAGGGCGCCACAGGAAGAACTGGGGCTTCAAGGAATGGAATCTCTGCAGCAATCCTCAGGATCCTTGTAAGGGTTGCATGCAAGAAAACTTCAAAGCTGGCACAGAATTATAAGTCGCAAAGTGCCAAATTGGACATCAGTGCGCACCACCTCTGGTAGTCAAAGAGAGATTACACCATTACATCTCTTGCATGGAATCAGCTACTCAATACATGGCGTTTCAACACCAACTTGAGGTGGCTCTAGTTAGCTCCTTTCTATGGGGCCAGTAAGCTATAATTTTGGCATACTGACGCTCCAGTAGTCTGGCAGTTGAAGTCACCTTGCCAGACTATCCAGCTTTGAAGATGCAACCATTTCTGTGGAAGTACTCCAATGTCGACCGTTCAGCTGGCTCAAGGTCTTTTCTGCAACTTATCTTCAAAAAACTAAACCGATTTTGTCTAGAACTTTCATCTTTAACCGGCTTGCAATCAGAAAAGCCCCACCGCAAGAAAGAGTCATCAGTAAAGACCTTTTTTTGCATCTCCAGAGAGCTATAAAAGTTTCTCACTTATTTATAACCAGCAGAATCCTGCGAGCCCTCACATAAGGGTCAAGCCCCTACAGGTTGACCAACTGAGCATGCATTTCAGCAGATGACAAAACCCTTGGATGACTGCCGGAGGCAAAGTGATTGCGTCAACAGCCCTCACCCCAAGATAATTCTCCAGCATATCACACAGCTGCGTCTTGTAGCTGGGGCCTCTCATCCCTTCCATAGTTGACGCCTGCTTTGAAAATTGTGCACGCTAGCCTTGATGCAAGGGTGGTTCTGCAACCCAGGGAACCTCCTACAAACCCACACAAAGTAATGGTATATGATAAATCACAAAAGTCTAAACTCTCTGCCCAACTTTCTTCAGAATTCAATGCTCACACAAGTTGGTGATGCTCAATGCATCTCGAGGTGCTCAACTATAAGCACAGCATCTTATCCACAGCCAATTGATTCTGAGGAAAATTCACATGAAAAACCGGCATGAGCTACAAAGAAGGGAAGAAGGGCGCCCCATGCCAGACGACAGGCTAGACTTTGACTCTGAGTCTGAGTCTGAGTCACTGTCTGAGCTCACTTCGAACCAACTGAAAGTTACTGAAGCAGAATCTGTTTCTGCAAACGCGCGCGGATGCGCGCGGCACTGGGCGCGGGCGGCCGCCCGTGCGTGGTAATGGCTCTTATAATTCACTTGTCCATTACCAGGTTTCCACTGAGCCCCCGGCGCTACAGTAGTTCCTCCATCGAGGTACCTACTCGAGATTAAAAACTTCAACCGGCTGGCAAGGTTCCTTGCTTCTGCTCCCCTTCTATTGGCCCGGAGGGCGACCTTCGGAGAACTAATCATGTAGGATCGAGAGGCATAGAGGCCTTATGACATGGAAAAGCAATTAGCAAACCCTGACTATCGAACCTGTAACGAGGAAAAGCAGCTCGTACCCATATATAGCTACATAAAATGAAGAGTACTTTTAAATGTGTTTTAAACTAAACCAAACACTTCCAGGAATGCAGTATAAAAAATTGCCCATTTGATAGGTAATATTCTACATGCCAGCTCGCCAATTAGATCTGTGACATCTGCCGCTTCGCAAAACCGGTCGGAGAGATAGCCTGGTAGCCCTTGAAGCAAACCGGGACTCCACCAGTGGATTAGTGTGCTACATTGATCCGTGTAAAAGCATGAAGTGCAATGGAGTTGCCTAGGGTTGAAATTGCACGCATGTCTCATGCCTAAGGGCCGGCTAGTCATAGCCCGGCCATGTGTGAGCATGTGCATGGACATTTTTGAGGTGCGTAAGTGGCGGCAGAGAAGACAATCTCATGGTTTTGCCAACAATCATCATGGGAAGAGCGAATGCCACGCGCGATGTACAAAAGGCGCCATGCATGATCGCCTCAACCTAATAAGCGCAAGTAATTTGTAATCCTCGCAACTGTCGCATCGCCAAGCATGGCCATCCGGTCGATCTTGCAAGACTTGGCTAGAAGAACCTTGTGAGGTGTTCTGATTGAAGCTTGCACTGTATCAAGAACAACAATGTTCAACTAGCAAATGAGAAGCCCCTCGCTTATCAGCCCGGATGTAAACTCTAATGTTAGAGCTTTTGCTTCCGGCTGAGTACTATACAGGTGCCGCAGACTAAATGCTATATAAGAGTCTACGAGGCCTAGCTCTAAACAGGGCCCCATGCTTTTTCAACTTGGATTGTGACGTGCTCAATACCGTACTTCCGCTCACAAAGCTCAGTAACTTCTAGGAGAACCTGTGAAGATACAAAGCGGGGATAGATCAGCATGACGAGAAGCATCATAGAAGCCTCGCTAAGTGGCAACTTTGCAGCGCCTCTAAAATCACTTTACTAGCTTCTCGGCAGATAGCAAGAACATTGCTGCAGTGCCCTTAAATCCAAGGACTCTCGGACGTGAATATAAAAGCAGCAATGGGAATCATAAGCCTTCCCAGAACAACTTTGCAAAGTCTGTGCACTAGGCGCAGAAACACATTGGCCCGACTGCGGCAACTCGCCAAACTCCCTCGTCTGCTACAAGAACACCCATCTCACCATGACGCGACGGTGCGGACATCAGCTCTCTCCTTGCCTCTTGCAACACAGGGCTACTTATTGCATCCGCGAGCGGAGGCATTCCCTGGCCGTGCTATCACTTAAGAAGCTACCTATACACAGAGTGCTGATCAAAAAGTGGAGCCAACGGAAGAAAACTTACGTCCTCTGAGTCTGCATCAACGTCGATGCGCAGGTGGCACGCCAGCAGCGTCTTGCCCATGGTAATCTGCCAAATGTGCAGATCGTGCACGTCCACGACAGACTGCACCCGCATCAGCCGCTCCTCCAACTGGCACAGAGAGTGAGCGAGACAGGAGTCAAAGGTCGTTTCTGTAGAATACTCAGCAAAGGATTTGACTCGTCGTGCAAGTTCTAGTTGGGTGATCCGCCGGTTGAAAGGCCCGTTTGCGCGTTCAGATTATCTAGGATGACATGAGCAGCAACCTGCTTTGAGAATGAGCGAACCAAGCACAGTCTGGACGTCAAGTCTGCCTCGACCTACAGAAATGAAATAAGGTTGGATAGCGAGCGTGTTCGAATTCCTTGAACTGGCGGGAAAACTCTGCAGTTTCTGCACCTTAGTTTCAGCAATCTGTACCAGCGGCCCCAGCAACGAAGGGACGCAAGAGAGCGCAAAGGTCGCCCATACAGGATATCCAGGTTCCGCTTTAAAAATGCATGCCTTCTGCTTCGTCCTAGGAAAGCTGTTCCGTACTTCAAGCCGCTCTTTTGGTTGCCAATACATTGGAAAGGACAATCTTGTCTGGAACATTTTCTCGCCACTCCGTTCATGTGCTTAGCGGGATGCTAAATATGGAGAACCGAGCACGGAAGGCTGAGCCGACGAAGAGCACGAAGCGGCGTCCAGCTGTGAAGGAGCATAACTCTGAAAGGCCACAGAACGTGGACTTTTGAGGGGCGTACGCACGATCAGAACACTGAATAAAGGACCCACCTTCTCAGCATTGATCGCGCGCAACATCGACTCAGCAGCCTCAGCAGAGCACAGGGATCAGGTCACTATTTGCCACCTTCTCCAGAAGCTTTTAGCAACAGGAGTGACGGAGCTCACCTCCTCGGCGTTGATCGCGCGGGGCGTCGACTCCAGCAGTACCTCCAAGATGTCCCGCAGAATGTTGACCGTCGTCGCGAGCACGAGCACGCTGAACAGCAACGTGCACACCAGGTCCACGATCTGCCACTCCGGGAAGAACCAGATCACCAGTCCCGCGAGCATTACCCCCACACTCTGCACCAGGTCCCCGAGCACGTGTAAATACGCCCCGCGGATGTTGATGTTCTCGGACGGCTTGACGTTGGTGTGGCTGGAAAGGCGCCGGACGAGCCCCCGGCCGTCCGAGGGGTGGGGTTCCAAGTTAAGGAGCTCCTCAATCGGGAGCCGAGTCTCGTACTCCAGCTCACTTCCGCTTCCGTGTCCGTTTCCGTTTTCAATTCCGGTCTCATTCTCGGCTCTGTTCCTGGGCCCTGTTCCCTCTTCGTTCCTCCTACCACTCGCGCTCGAGCTTTCCTGCGCCCCATTCGCATGGCCGATCCTCTTAGCACCCCCCTCGATGTGAGCGTGCTCTTCGTGGGATAGCTCGTCGTGTCTGTGCCCCTTCTCACCGTGCTCGTGCGCACCGCTCCCGACTTTCTTCCCCCCCGCCACGCGAATCCCCTTCTCAATCGTGACCACCACTGACTCCCCCCCTTTCCTGATCGGCCCGTGAATAGCTTCCCCATGCTTCTTTTCCCGCCCCTTTTCTTTCTGGTTCTCTCTACCGCCGGCATCGCCATGGCTGTGTCCGTCACCCCCTCCCCGGTGGCTGTGCTCGTGCCCCCCCCCTCCATGACTATGCCCGTGGGCCCCCCCTCCGTGACTGTGTCCATGCCCCCCCCCTAAGTGGCTATGCCCGTGACCCCCCCCTCCGTGACTGTGACCGTGGCTTTCCCCGTGTGCATGCGAATGGCCCGCATGGCCATGCTCAAAGACTGACATCATGATGACGTTGACGCAGACACCGAAGGCGGCCGTGAAGAACATGAGGCGACCGTCGACGTGCGCCTCCTTGTTGAGCAGGCTGCAGGGAATGGTGTGACGTCAGCAGGGCACAAGGACAGCTAGAGGTGCAGCGGAAACCTGACACAGTGTCTCACGAGACATGATTCCCATGCTTGTCCTGTAAGCTTTCTGAGAGTGACCCTGAATGCTGGCTTGGTGACAAGTAGAGGAGCTTCCTGAAGCGTTTCCTCATCAAGATCCTGAAAGTTCTAAAGCGAGCAGGGAGCTTACCGAACAACCGCCTCATAGACAATGATTCCGGTGATTGACCAGATAAGCTGGACGGAGAGGAAGGCTCCCAGAATCTCCATGCGGTGGTAACCGAAGCTGTGCTTGGGCGTGGCCTCCCATCCAGCCATCCAGATGGCAAACAGGGAGATGGCGAACCCTGTACACAACAGCCGAAGTCGGTTTAGACTTCGCTAGAAAACCATGCACCGTTTGTTGCGGCTGCAAAGGCAGGGCAGAGCAGGCAGTACTTCTTCCTTCGCTGGTTCTCCAAGTCTTCCGGCTCAAATTCCAGGGGACTTACACGGCTCATCGTTATTTCCAAAGGTGCGTTTCAGGCTGACGCTGTTGCTATACACATTGCCTTTCCACACAGAAAAGCAAGTGCTTGCTACCCTGCAGAAGGCTTGATTGAAAGTGGACTTATACAGAAGGTCTTGGAGTTCAAATCCCCAAGTAAACCAAGCAGGCTCTATTCTAAAAGCAGACTTGGAATCGAACGTACCGGCGATGTCAGACAAAAGGTGAGCGGCATCTGTCATGATGGCTAGACTGTTGGACAGGAAGCCTGCAGAACGCACAACACAATACGCGTCAGTAGACAAATGATGGACGCATGATGCTGTATTCCAGATATGGCCTGCCAGCAAGAAGTGGGATCCCTTTCTTTGATACCCGCCAGCTCCGCTTTCCACAACCTTCACCAAAATGGATTCAATCGAAGCAGCCATGGAAGAAAGACCAAGTAGACTGCTTATGCTGGCAGCACTTGGTCTTTTTTCATGGTATAAGCAAGCAAACACAGATTGCCTAGCTTACAAAGCAGAAGCTGTAATCTAAAAGATACTGGCGCCCGAGTGAATCACACATGACAAGCTTTATGTATCGGAAGCAGACACCTCCTGTTATCTGCGAAAACCCTTCGATGCAGAGCAGCTACATGGTACACAGCACTCATCAAGAAGCAAAGCTCTCCTTTCGAGGGAAAATACAGCTGCCTGACCTTCACCACTTTGGCTAGGTTGTGTATGATATCATTTCAACACCAAACTGATCCATTAGCAGCAAAAGTCGATGACGTCAGCTTCGAAACTTGATGACAACCCACCACCTCCCTCAAAACCGTACAGCGACACTCACCTCCGATCACCTCAACAATCATGAAGATGAAGCACAGGCCGATTGCTGAAATCAGCTTGCGCCTCGCCTTCTCCCTTTCCGCAATGTCAGACGGCCCTTTTTCTAGCGTGGACAGTCCGCATGTGCCATCCGCTCCACAAAGCCCTATGTTTCAAGTTTTGGATTTTGGGTTAGCTTGGGGTGACCAAACCTTCTGCCAGGCTTTTAAGGATACATATGCAACAGTTCAGCCACACTGTTGCAACATTAGAGTGTTTGTGAAATGATCAAAGGGCTGAGAAGGTGCTGATAAGGCTGAATGACATTCGCGGTTACAGCCCGCCATTGCTAAGTACGCGGGCAACGGTTCATGCACCTTGACACCGGAAGGCAGGGGTAAGGGGCCAAAGAGTGGGGTACCGCGCAAAAGTGGTGATGTCAGAATGTGCTCATTCATTTCAAAAGATTCAGTCATATGGTGGCACCGTAAGGTACGGCTAATTAATCAGTTCCGGACAATGCGAGTTATCCATCGAAAACTATGCAAGCAGATAAGCGTCCTAGTTTTGATGCCTCACACGCCCTGAAAGTCTGCACGCGGTCTGTGAACCTCAGAAGCAAAGAATTTGAAAAGAACTACAGCTCACTCGGCGAAGTTGGTCTTGACAACACAGCAATTGCCACCCGCTCGCTGTCCTCCTCCCTATCATCTGGAAGGAGAGGCTGCCTTTGGTCGGGCGCTTCTTCCACAGCTGGCGCCATGCCTGGAAACGATCAATGCTCCTTGTGACGATTACACCCCTTGGAACCACTTATGCGATCCAGTTCTCCTTGTGAGAACACTTGGGCATGGCAGAACACGAAGTTTTCACTGCTGCCCGCCCCTCAACCCCAGATGTTCTCTGATCAGACTGAAATTTGAAGTCGACCTTCGAAGCTGCCAGGCTGCTTTTCCTGTGGGCAGGCTGCAGGCACCATTCTCAAATGCGAGCGGGATGGTTGGCAATTAGGTAGTACCCTTTTAAGTCGTTACCGCCGCCCTGACATGATGAGCATGTGTCCGAGAACTTCTTGTCCTCCTACTCTGACGTTCGAGAACGCGCCGAGAAACGCCGAGATTTTGACCGATCGAAAATTACCGAGTCCGGCAAGGCCGGCAACCGCCAGCTCATGGCAATGCGCTCGCGTACACAGCGCGCGCCGATCCATCCCGACCGCGCCCGGCGGCCGCGCGGGGCCCCTAGCAAAACGGCGCGGCGAGAGTGGCCGCGGCCGCCTTGCAAACTGGGCCCAGCAACTGGCAAACCATGGGCCCCGCAAGCAGCGGGACAGGCGCGGCGTGCATCCGATCAGACTCGGGCCAGTTGTGAACACTGGCAACGAGTTCCAGGCGTCTCTATCTGTACTTTCCTTCCAATCAACCAAAGGCAGCGTCCTGAGTGACGTGCATATGTGCATATTGGCATATGCGTGATGTTGCACAACGACCGTGGCCGTTCTCAAGGCATGCTGGTTACTATTCAGGCCGATTCGGGGGCCGAAAGTGACGGTCCAGCTTTCCAAATCAGCTTTCAAGACGTTAAAGGCCTTGCAAATTGCATAGCTTATCATGTTCCGTATATAGCCGAGCACATACTCGTGACCATTGGGATCCGGACAGAGAGGCACACTGAGCCGAATCTAAGCCGCAAGCCCGGGTTCCTCGCAAAAAATCGCAGTCGTCTGAAAAGCTCTGACGGAAGGGCCAGGCAACGGTTGCTTTGCGCATGCTGCAAAGTATGTTGTCAGGAAGAAGTGACGTGAAGGCGAAAGATTGGAGCGAAGCTCGAAAGCAAACGGTCAGACAAATGTGTAGACGCTTTGAGCCACTTGATTGCCACATATTGCGACGAGAACTAGTTTCAGCTGGTCCGTTCATATCTTTTGTACGTTCTCAAGGTCAACACTAAACGGCTGGATAAGAGTGGCCGCTGCGCCGCCCTCAGAATAGTCAGACAAATATCGAATCCTGGTTTGGACCCGGTTTTGAGTCATTATTGAACAAGGTTGCATGCTCCGAGCATGTCCAAAGGCAGTTCGAAACTGTTCGATACGGATGCGACTTTGATCGCCCCGACTTGGACCTGAAATCCGAGCCCCCGGCTAATTCAAATTAATATGGTGTACAAACATCTTTCAGCAATTTAATAACGCTGCGCCAACCTGGATTGTATCCAGCTGGAATGCGAAGTGCTTGTTCAAGTAAGGTCCGGTCTGCACCCAATCATCACCTGCTCGGTTATAGCCCGCGATGACAGAGGCTTTGTAGCTATTTTCGAGTATCTCGAATTGGAAAAAAAAGTATGACGGAGGCACCGGCCGGTTCGTTTCGAACGACAATCGCTTGCAAGAATATGATGCAAGCGACGGAAGGATTGATGCGTCAGGGACGAAAACGGCAGTCTCCAAGATCTGGCCAGGTGACCGTTTGCAGATCTTTGTACGAGAACTTGAAGTCCGCCAACATTAACGCCCTCGTCTAAGCATGATGGAAGCATGACGTGCTGCTGACAGGATGCGTGTTCGAACCAAGATCAAATAAACTTACTCAACTTTGAGACAGTCGCAAAAGAATTGAACGGCTCATGTTTCCAAAACCGAACAACAGCATCAGCATCAGAGGTCGGTTTGATTTTGCACCCCCCAAGGTAGAGCGCCTTGACCAGCGCCAAGCGCGCGCGCGCTGTTTCGCACTGCTGCGCATTCCGGATGCACGAGATTGATGTGGGGAATCACCTGCTGTTGCCCTGGGTCGTCCGATTCCTATACGGTGCGCAAGTGGCCTATTGTAGTCCTGCCGCTGATTTACGATTCTTTCACGAGTCTTGCGGGGCCCTCAAACTTTTCTTTGAGCGGAAGTCTTACGGTGTCCAATATGATGAGAGACTTATGTTCCTAAACTTCGTCTACATGCTCTCTTCCGATGCGGGTTCCGCCTTACAATGGAGTTTGTGGTTCGCCCAATGGAGCTTCTGGTGCTCCTTGCTGTAAGGAAAAGTATCACGCACCCGTTTGCGTCAAAGATCTTTCAGATCATCATGGCGCAAGCACAGTCGAGCTCGTTTGAAAAGATCGCGGAAATGGTAAGCGTGAAGCAGAAGATCTTGCCACGGCAACGAGGTTTCTTTGGATGGTTAGCGATGTTTGGAGGTATTTCGAAATTAGGATAAACGGAGAGGTGTCCGAACAACACCTCGACACTTTACAGATTCTGAAATGTGATATCCAGTCTCGATCAGTCAGTCAAGGCTTCAAACAATACAGAGTGGTTGAGGGATTCGAGAAGGACGATTCTTGTATCCATCCGACAAAAACAAAATTAGCGCAGTTGGTATGCGACTCTGCCTATCAAACATCAGTATCTGTTAGGTCGTTGCAACTGAAGCAGCAAACGCGGAGAGATCAAAATGCTGGGTCAGCTTGATGCAGGGAAGATCTCAGCTGATATAAACCACAAGCATCGAACCGGACCCAGAGGGGCCCAATATGACAAACATTCTGCAATCGCTCTTACCTGCAATAGCGTGCCACGTGGCAGCGTCCGCACTTCCTGAAACCCTTCTCAACGACGGGCTCGCGGCCGGCCGCGCACTGCTTCCACGAGCACACAATGGGGACGAAGAACCTCCCATTCAGAGCCTCTTCCATCTTTTTGTAATTTTCGAACGCCTCGTCATCGAAAACCAGTCCTGCCGTCACGTGAGCACTTTTCAATAGCTTCACAAATTGCGACCAGGGGTGCACTTCCGGTTCCGCGCTGTTGATTTTGCGCTTGTGGGGCCGGAACCCTTCGAGCGCGTTGTGCGCACGTAGCTTTTGCGCCGTCGGCTCGAAGGTAGACAAGCGACTTAAGACCTGGTTGCACCGGAACGCCGCGGAATGACCCCGCTGCGACCCCTTGGAATATTCGACAAGAGGTGATTGTTGGAAGATTGCTGCGAGCAATTTCAGAAGGCCCCCGTCGATCGCCCAGGTCTGGCTATCTGTTGAAAAAGCAAGCGAGACTGCCAGGCTGGCCAGATAAAACCTGATTTTGTGCGCATGTTCAGGAGTCATCGCGGCAAGAAACGCGGGCCGAAGCAGGTCTTGGAACTGATGAAAGACGTCCTGCTGCGTGCGCGAGTCTCTGATGCTATCCCAAAAGGCCTTGGATGCGCGCGCAAAGTTAACCAGGCACTCCAGAGAGGCGATGTGATGGTTGGCCAGCTATATGCAGAGAGCTGGCAGGATAACTACACACGATCAGCTTACATGTGCAGAAACCATGAAAGCAGGCGTTCTCAAGCGATGGCGCAGCTCAGAAAAATTGCTGTCTTTCTGCTCAAGACA